TTCATTTAATAAATGTTTTGTTTTGATATATAAGTTGTTCGGGTTTTTCATCTAAAAAAGAGCAACATTTCTTGATGACCTAATAGAATAAGCCAGTTCATAGTTATGAGTGTGTATGTATGGAATCAGTAGTTGGAAAAACTCATGCCTGCCAACCTTGTGTCAAAGTGTGAATATTGTTATTTATGTGTATAAAAGAAGTATATTATACTCACTTATAATAGCTTGTGTACATAATATAAACAGGTATCAATCTCAACAAATACAGTTTGAGATATGTGTTGTAGGTTAAATAGATTCTGGTTGATTAATTGGCAAAACAGTTAATACTATATAATGAATGTGTGTTTTGGTTCTTTCTCAGTTTGTTTCACTGCCTTTTAGAAACTCCTCGTATAAAAAAAAATACTCCATACAGCTTTTATTTTGTAAAATGGGTTAGATCAGACTGTTTATTTTTTACATTCAAAAAATTTTGGTTGGGGTTAAAATTAGTGCAGTTCTGGGTATCTTAACATAGTTTTATTTTTTTTTATGTTTGGCCTTAGACTAAATATAAACTTTGTCTTGCCTTCATCTACTTGGAGCTTGTTTTTGTTTCTACTCATAACTACTATACATTGTAAATGTAGCTCTATAAAAACAAAAGAGCAATAATCTACATCTTTTAGTTCATAATCTGTAAAGTAAATGTATCTCCTTGACAGAAACTTGCATGCACTCGTAGTGATTTGCTTTGTTTATCCTGATAAAATCCCAAAATACTTTGTGTACCTTTCTTACTTATGAGATTTTATACTGACTTATTATCCAGCCAGAATAACTCTAAGAAAGGCCACACCATGATAAAACCTATTTCTTTACAATAATAATAATAAAAAATATATATATATTGTCCCAACAGTTCTATTTTTTAAGGCCATACTGGTGGGCCAAAATCCAGAGTGGGTGGACCAAGTACTCCAGTAAGTTGTATATATATAAGGGACCTTTTGGTCCTTCTAGGCTGTCCCTCCACTAAATTAAATTAAACACTAAAAAAAAAAACAACAACAACAAAGCCATCCTTTCACATTCAAATATCTACTAAGCTTTACTTTAAACTCCCTTAAATTAACTGCACATATCTCATCTGAAGGCAACCTGTTCCAAAGACCAACCACCCTGTTAGAAAGATAAAGCTGTTTTAGCTGAAGATGTCTTTAAACCTGCCACAATTTATACTGGGATCCCCTAGTCTTAGCATTAAATATGAAAAAACGATGATGCATCTCAGGGTTTTCACTAGGTTCCCACAGGGAAGAGTTTCAGATTCTCAACTTTTTTTTACAAGAGTCCCAGTAAGATTTTCAAGGGTCCTATAGATAGAATTTAATAAACTTAAAAAAAAAAAAGGAAAAACACTTCAATGTCAATGAAAACTTTATTTACAATTTTAACTGATTTTGTTTCTCTTTATGATATTTTATCGGTGTTAAAGAAGTTAAGTGCACTTTTGTGCTCAACGAAAATGTATTATTTGTAATGTACACTACACATTTCTTACCCTCAACAAGTGTTAAATTAGGACAGTATGCAAGAGGATAAAATGTATTATTTGTAATGTACACTACACATTTCTTACCCTCAAAAAGTGTTAAATTAGGACAATATGCAAGAGGATAAAATGTATTATTTGTAATGTACACTACACGTTTCTTACCCTCAACAAGTGTTAAATTAGGACAGTATGCAAGAGGATAAAATGTATTGTAATGTACACTACACGTTTCTTACCTTCAAAAAGTGTTAAAGTAGGACAATATGCAAGAGGATAAAATGTATTATTTGTAATGTACACTACACGTTTCTTACCCTCAAAAAGTGTTAAAGTAGGACAATATGCAAGAGGATAAAATGTATTATATGTAATGTACACTACATGTTTCTTACCCTCAAAAAGTGTTAAATTAGGACAATGTGCAAGAGAATAAAATGTATTATTTGTAATGTACACTACACGTTTCTTACCCTCAAAAAGTGTTAAAGTAGGACAATATGCAAGAGGATAAAATGTATTATATGTAATGTACACTAC